ATGCTGTTAGTGAGTTCTTCACTTCTTGTGTGCCTATCATTACTTGGCTGTGTAGCCGCGTGATGCGGTTCCAGTCGAGACCCACAAATTGGCCCTTGCTCACCATAGAGTCTCCAGTAGCTCAAGTGGTTAGAGCATCCGACTAGATCACGGAGGGTCGTGGGTTCAAATCCCATCTGGGACTCGGATTTTTTTTCCGAGTCCTCCTCAAATTAATTTCTTTTTAACTTTTTTTAACTTACATTTTAAGGAGTAAACTCAATTGTTTTGAAAAAGTTCAAAAGTTTTTGATGCCTTTAAGAACCTTTCCGTGGATGGAAAAAAGGCTGACATTGCGCCCATCATCCACTCACATTTTTGACGAGCATTTCCCTCCATAATTAAACAAGTCACGTGCAGCCAGGCTTGAGCGCGTACGTTATATGACACTCTGTGCATGACAAATTGTGTCTAAAAAATTTCACGGTTGGCTTTTTCACAACCAACCGGTAATATTTCCATTTTTACGATCAACGAATAAAATTACTTGCTCATGGAATCTCAATATTTAACCCCATTAAGACCCTCTGAATTCTTAACTAGCATTTCTGGCGGGAAATCGCGGCAAGTGTGTCAACTGCTGGTTACATTACGTCATACGAAAACAAGCAAATGATCTAATCAGAATAAGAATGCCGTTCACTGCTTTCCGTTGACAGGATGATTCATACAATACTCCTTATGACAAATGAATCTTACCTTCTCCTTTTCTTTATCCGCCAGCTTTTGTTCTGCTTTCGCTTTCCACTCTGCAAAAAACTGCAAAAAACAAACTGAATTTAACTCCTAACAACATTCGCGCGGAGTTAAGATTTACCCTGATCTCAAACTTTCTAGTGAGAGACATAAACCTTGATTTGCACCCGGTGCTCTGCGAGGCCAATACTGAAGCAGTAGAAGAAACATCAAACCCTTTGATTAAGTGTTTCGTGTGCTCTGATTGGGTGATATTCAGCAAACTCTGAGCATTTTCTAGTGGCGTTGTTTGTCTTGCTGTACAGTTGATAGATCTTTAAGTGTGCTCTGATTGAGCAAAACTAACTATCACTTTGGCATGGCTTGTTTTGTCTTGCTACGCAATGTGTATCGATTAGATCTGGGAGGTAAAAGGGGCTTTAAAAAAATGTCTCCCAAGCATTTATTTAAAACGTTAAAAATAACAATAATAAACTTTGAAAACCTGTTAGCCTAGTAAGTTTTCAAAACAACAAAAGCAACCCGTTATCTTTTTCACGTTTGTCCATCCGCGCTTCCTCTGTATTTGCTGTCTTATTTTTTACCTTCCTGTAACGTATTGAAGGGTTATTTTTATGTTTCATTCAATTTGGTGGCAGTGCCACTGTTTGAATTTGGTAAATTTCGTGACACACCTCCTTTAAATTCCAAGATCATGACTGAACACGCTGATCGTGCATATCAAGAGAGAAATTCTTCGTACCTTGGAAGTGACCGTGTTGTTATAGTGCTTCTCGGCGCGGCTCTTCAGTGTAAATTTCTTCCATTCTTTCAAGACTCCCTGCTTCATTCGTCTGTTGTGATGTACCATTTGCCCTTCTACCAACTTTTTATGTTTACGGGCGAGTTTAAGCGCAT